TCTCTCTCTCTCTCTCTCTCTTTCTCTCTCTCCCCATGTGCCCTCTGGCAGATTTAAAAAAAAAAAAAAAGCCACAATAAGATCTAGAATCTGCCCCCATCAAAAAAAGGAGGGGAGGAGAGAAAGAAAATAACGGAAAAAAATTATAATATAAATATATTAACAAAGCTCAAAATAAAATTGAAAAATCCCCTAGTGCAAGAGACTAAAAAGGAGGTTTTTTTTTTTTCAGATTTTTGCAATAGGGCACATGTGCTCAAAAGAGAGAGACAGAGAGGAAAGGTGAGAAATCACCCCCGGGGGGGATAGCCATGCTGCAGTCTCTTCTCCATTATTCTCTCAGGATTTCAGGCACACACACAAAAGAAATCATTTTCAAGACACCTGATCTGGAACTCAAACCACATAGCCAGCCATGTGGGATCCCTTGCCTTAACCACTTAAGTCACCTGCAGACTGCCAAAGGAGTTTAAATTTAGTAGTGAGTAAGCTGAGTAAGGTCATTGGCATTTTGCAACTAGAAAAAGGCCTTAATTATTATGGGATGAATGGGGAGAAAAGACCATACTACAGGCCTCCTGCACATGAGGTAGAACTAATATAAAATTATGGAAAGCCAGAAAAACTATGCCTGTAGTCATAGGGATGTATCAAAGAGCTTCCTGTATCCTCTGGGAATTGGATAGGAAAGAGTTGCCTGAGAGAATGTGGCATCCCAGGCCTGTGCAGCATGGAGGGATGGTCACAGTTTACATGACTGCATTGGTAAGGACACTGAGCTAAGGAATTAACACTAATATCTGGTCCAATATCAAGACCCTAAGATCTTGACAAATGCAAGTGTAAAACTACCTTAAAGGAAGATTCTTTATAACCTAGGGTGTTTGGTTGTTTGCAATGGAAAAATAAAATGTACAGAAAATAAATCAATGGTTTAAAATTACAAACTTTCCAAAGAAATGACCTCCTTTGAGGCAATGTGATTAGATGTAACATGTGAAAGAATTCGTACTCCAAGAACAAGAGAACTAGACCACTCAGAAAGATGCTTTAAAATAAATGCTTAACAAGTTAAGAGAATGAATAAAACCTCTAAGTCAAGAGCAGATCAATATGGGATCAACAGTTGGTGTAATGGCTGTGTCGCTGAATTCCCATGTAGTCGACCACGGTTCGAGTCCTGGAACCGGTGACATAAACTCACGCCGGGCGCGCGTACGTGCGTGCCCAAGATCCCGAGAGGAGAATGGAGGAGAAGGGATTGCGGCGTGACCATCCCCCCAAGGAGTGATTTCTCGCTTTCTATTTCTCTGTCTCTCTGTCCTTCTGGTGAGCATATGCACCCTATAGCAAAAACCTCTCCAAAAAAAAAAAAAAGAGAGATCAATATCAAAAAATAACTGTGATATTTGGGAAAGATGTACACATATATGCACACACTAATCACCTGAGGAGCCAAAGAGTAGACAAATGCAAATGAAGAAAGTATTAGTACATTTGGAGACACAGAGGAAATCACACCAGAGGGTGGTAAAGAGACTGGAAAGGTGAAAGAACAGTTGAGAGACATGGTGGATAGGATGAAAAGTTAACTTTCTATTTAAGTACTAGAAAGACAGAATACAGATAATCAGGAAGAAACAATATTTGAAAAGATATTTTTCCAAATTAAAGATACACATATGAATCATTATTTGAAGGATCACAGTGAATCCTGAAGAGAATAAAAATAAATCTACGTCTAGATATATAATAGTGAACGTGTAGATCATCAAGACAGTTAAACATCATAAAAAGTGCCAGAGATTAAAAAAAAAAAAAACTGGAGAGGATTGGGCCAGCAGGTGGCATGGAGGTTAAAGCAGCTGGATCCTACATGGTCAACTACATGGTTCAAGTCCTAGACCCAGTGTCATGAAACTCAGTCCAGCCACATGTGTGTGCATGCCCAAAATCCAGAGAGAAGAATGGAGGAGAAGAGAGTGTGGCATGGCCATCCTCCCTGGGGGTGATTTCTCACTTTCTCTCTCTGTCTCTGTCTCTGACAATCACACCTATCATATAGCAAAATAAACAAGTAATTAAATCCTGCAGAGAATTAAGTTAAACATCTTTTTTTTTTTAAGAAAGAGATTATCAAGTTCCCCAGAAAGAAAAGAAAGACAGAAAGCAAGAAATCACTCCCCCAGGGGGGATGGCCATGCAATAATCCCTTCTTCTCCATTATTCTCTTGGAATTTGGGGCATACACTGCCTGGAGTGAGTTCAAAGCCAATGGGTCCAGGACTCGAACCATGTGGACTACATGGAACTCCAGCAACATAGCCATTATCCCATCTGCTGCTCCCAGTTAAACATCTTAAAAACTGTCAGATAAAACACAAATTTTTCTGCAGAAGAAATGTAATTACATTAAAAGATTTCTCATCAGTAACAATAGATGCATTAAACGGTGAAATAATGGATTCAAAGTGTTGAAAGGAAATAATCTCCAACGCAGAACTTTATCTTCTGAGTAATCAAACAGGCGTGAGGATAAATAAAAGATATTTTCTGGAATTTAGAGACTAGGATAGTTATTACTTAAAGAGTCTCAATAAATTCTGAAGGAAGAATTACTAAAAAATTCTGAAAGAGAACTTTCCAAAACCCTTGGTCAGAAGATGAGGAGCAGTGACTGCCTGAGCTGTGCACAGCTTCCTGCACCTTCCTGCTCCCCCATGCTGGCCTCAGCCCGCTGGCTGGTTGTAGAAAATGATGAAAGAAAGGAATTACTATGATGTTTTGGGGGGTCAAACCCAATGCTACCTAGGAAGAATTGAAGAAGGCTTACAGGAAACTCGCCTTGAAGTACCACCCTGATAAGAATCCAAATGAAGGCTAGAAGTCTAAACAGATTTCTCATGCTTATGAAATTCTCTCTGATGTGAAGAAAAGGGAATTATATGACAAAGAAGGAGAGCAGGCAATTAAAGAAGGTGGAGCAGGTGGTGATTTTGACTCCCCAGTGGACATCTTTGATGTGTTTTATGGAGGAGGAGGAAGGATGCAGAGAGAAAGAAGAGGTAAAAAATATTGTGCATCAGCTGTCAGTAACCTTAGAAGATTTATATGATGCTGCAACAAGAAAATTGGCCCTGAAAAAGAAATTGATTTGTGACAAATGTGAAGGTTGATGTGGTAAGAAAGGAGCAGTAGAGTGCTGTTCCAGTTGCTGAGGTACTGGGATGCAAATAAGAATTCATCAGATAAGACCTGGAATGGATCAGCAAATTCAGTCTGTATGCATGGAGTGCCAAGGCCATGGGGAACAGATCAGTCCTAAAGATAGATGAAAAGTTGCAATGGAAGGAAGATAGTTCAAGAGAAGAAGATTCTAGAAGTTCATATTGACAAAGGCATGAAAGATGGCCAGAAGATAACATTCCATGGGGAAGGAGACCAAGAACCAGGACTGGAGCCAGGAGATATTATCATTGTACTGTATCAGAAAGATCATGCTGTTTTGACTCAACGAGAAGACCTTTTCATGTGCATGGACATACAGCTGGTTGAAACGCTGTATAGCTTTCAAAAGCCAGTTTCCACTCTTTACAACAGAACAATCCAGGTTAGATTGTCAAGCATGGAGATATCAAGTGTGTGTTAAATGAAGGCATGCCAATTTATCTTAGACTATATGAAAACGGTCGCCTAATCATTGAAATTAAGGTGAACTTCCCTGAGAATGACTTTCTGTCTCCTGATAAACTCTCTTTGCTGGAAAAACTTCTACCTGAGAGGAAGGAAATAAAAGAGACCAATAAAATGTACCCGGTAGAACTGGTGGACTTTGATCCGAATCAGGAAAGATGGCACCACCATCTAATATGCTCTTCTACAATGGAGAAGCCTATGAGAATGATGAACATCATCGCTGAGGTGGTGTTCAGTTTCAAACCTGTTAATGGGGACAGTAAATAACACTCATTGCTGGCATTTTCTATGCAATAGTGGATGAGTGAAGAACCATAATATGGCCACTACTTGCTATTTTTTTTGTTTTAATATCCATCTGTAGTAGTGTTTTAAAAGTTAGATGAAGAATAAATGCAAATATAAAAGCTCTGATTTTGCCCTTGTAAGTATGATGACTTCAGTGTGCAAGACACAGTTTTAATGGCTGTAAAATCTACAAAGTTCCCCTAACATTTGTTAAGCCATTTCTTGTCACTGATTTCAGCTATGCACATGGATGAGCTCAGACTGAAATGCCAGGTATATGTATGGACTTCAGTGTATGATCCTTCATTGTCAAGCTATGAAATTAAAATCCTATATATAACTGGTAATCAGGAGAAGAAAAAAACAATTTGTAGGAAAGTGTGTGTTGGTCTGTATAGTTATTTGTATTAAGTGAGACTCATTGTGTTGCCTCAATTTGAAGATGGATGGTATACTATATTTAGCCTGTGTCATCAGTGATAGAATGATACCTTTCTAAAGGAGTTTATCATAATGTGCTGCTTCTTGAAGACTTACAACTCTAGAATTGCATTCCCTTCCATTCTGCCATCTTTTTTTCAATATATATATATAAATATAAATATAAATAATATAAATATATACACATACACATATATATGTATGTATGTATGTATATATGTGACAAAGCCTGGTTACTCCCACCTCTTCCCACACCCCTTCTCTTTGTACCATGAAAAGCCCCTGAGTAGTAACTTCGGGAGTTGGATAACTTACAAAGTGAAACAACCTTTTACATGAAGAAGTAATTTGCATGTGTGATATAGAAAGGTATTTATTAGGTATTACAGGTTTACTTTAAACCACTTATGCTACAAAGTAACTGTAATTTGATGTTGGTAGGATAGCAGATTATGATGAATAGCCTTAATTGTATGTTTTAAAGTATGTTTTCAATTGTATGTACACATACTTAAATTTTGATTAACAGAATTTAAGCAAGTATTGAAATGTATGAATGCCTCCTTAATATACTGATTAAAAGGAAAATAATCTGAAAGAAGAAAAATGAAGCCAATGGTTGTAGCAGAATGCAAGAAACCAGAGTAAGCAAAGTTGATAAGATATTGGTAATTATAAATAAATATATGAGGTAAAAATTAAGAATTATGTTAATGAGTAATTTGGTGGAATTTGAGACAAATTAAAATTTAAATACTATTTAAAGTAAAATAGGTGAGAAGATAAGAATTAAAACACTCTATGCTTGTTGTATCTTTATGGAAAAGGGTAGAGACTGATGAACTGTAAGCTTTATAAATTTAAATACGTGGGTTAGAAATTAAAGGACACACTGAGAGAATAGGTATAGAATGTATACTTTTAAAGCCTTGAAAACTTGGTCAGGGCAGTGGAAGCCAAAAAAATGAAAAGGAAAAGGAAAAGCATGACTGAGAAAATACAAAATAACAGCTGAACTAATTCGGAGTACATTAGTAATTTTAGTAAATGCAAACATGTTAAACTTTCAGATCTCTATTTTAAAAAATAACCGAGTTACACACTGGACACACTTAAGAGACACAAAAATTACATAGGAAGGTTGAAAATAAAGTAATAGCAAAGTACATACCTGATATATACTAACCAAAAGAGAGGGGGAAGCAGTATTAGTATGAGATAAAATGGAACTTAGGAGAAAAACTGTAAGTACAGATAATCAGGGACAATGTAGAATGTATAGACTAGGAAGTCATAATTGCATATATGCGGAGACATCAAAAATTTCCTGGAAAAATATAATTAGAAGATTAAAATTTGAGGCCAGCAAGTGGCATGGTGGTTAAAGTGCCAGACTCCCACATGGTTGACTGCATTTCAAGTCCCAGACCTGGTGACTTGAAAATCATGTTGGGTGCCTTTGCATGCATGCCCAAAATCTCGAGAGGAGAATGAAGAAGGGACTGTGGTATGGCCTCCTCCCTGAGAGGTGCTTTCTCACTTTCGCTCTCTTTGTCTCTCCCTGGAGAGTGCAAAAACTTGAAAAAAAAGAAAGAAAAACACGCTGGGTGCATGTGGATGCATACTCAAAATCCCATAGGGAGGTAGAAATGGAGGAGAAGGGATTGCAGCATGGTTGTCTCCCATGGAGGTACTTTCTCTCTCTCTTCTCTCTCTCTCTCTCTCATGTACTCTCTGAAAAAAAAATAGGATAAACATGTTAAATGTAAGCTTTATCTCTCAACATAAGTTCCATGAAGTTCAAGATAGTTTTAGAAGCAATGATACCAGTCCATTCCTAAAGAAGTGAGGGTCCTGGGAATTTGACTATATATATATTGTATTAATTGAAGAAAAGTGGATGGCCTTTAAGATTTTCATTTTATGATTAGGAAACAAAAAGAAGTCACAAGGGGCCAAATCAGAACTGTATGGTAGATGCCTAATGATTTCCCACTGAAATTCTCACAAAATTGCCGTTGTTTGATGAGAGGAATGAGCAGGGGCATTGTGGTGGAGAAAGACTCTCTGGTAGTTTTTCCTAGGAATATTTCTGTTAAAGCTTCAACTGTCTGAACACACTCTCATAATAAGCAGATGCTATCATTCTTTGACCCTCCAGAAAGTCATCAAGCAAAATCCCTTGAGCATCCCGAAAAAACGTTGCAATGGCCTGTGCTCTTTACCAGTCCACTTTTGCTTTGATTGGACCACTTCCACCTCTTGATAGCCATTGCTTTAATAGTTCTTTGACTTCAGGATCATACTGGTAAAGTCATATGTTATCTCCTATTACATTTCTTCAAAGAAATGTTTAAAATTTCAATGAAAGTTCTGCTGTTCTCTGCAGCTGATCTAGGCACAATAATATTGGCACCTATTTATTGAACAGAAAGTTGACTCAACTTTAATTTTTCAGTGAGAATTGTGTAAGCTAAATCAACTGCAATACCTATGATGTTAATTATCGTTTCTGTTGCTAATCATCGGTTCTATTTAATCAGGACCAATACTGACTAGGAATAAAAAAGATAATTCCAAAACAACAGCTGAAAAGAGAAAAAGTAGAAAAGTAATGATGCAAAAATAAATTTAAAAATTACCAAAACATTATATACAAGGAGGGCTTCAAAAACGTCACAGAGAAATGGAAGTAAATTACAGGTTCATTTTGGTACAAAAGTTTTTGAAATACATGCATAGTTTTTTGCATAATATGCATTTGCAGGGCCTGCGCGGCCTGCCTCCCTATGGGATTTTGAGTATGCATCCACATGCACCCAGCATGTTTTTCTTTCTTTTTTTTCAAGTTTTTGCACTCTCCAGGGAGAGACAAAGAGAGCGAAAGTGAGAAAGCACCTCTCAGGGAGGAGGCCATACCACAGTCCCTTCTTCATTCTCCTCTCGAGATTTTGGGCATGCATGCAAAGGCACCCAACATGATTTTCAAGTCACCAGGTCTGGGACTTGAAATGCAGTCAACCATGTGGGAGTCTGGCACTTTAACCACCATGCCACGACTAGGAAGAGATATTTTGTTTGTTCATTTTTTTAAAGATTCAAGCCACACATTTTTTTAAGTTTACTTATCTATTTCATCTAAATGTTAGTATGGAGACCCTCAACAAGGTCCTCACACCGTGATCCACCCCTATTCTCAGGTAACTTGGATCACAGGCTCAAGTGCACATGCCCAGCAGGCTTAGGGAAGTCCCAGGATGTGAACTCAGAACTTTTTTCATGTGAGTCCAAGTGCATTACCACTGCACAACCTCCTGGCCCCATAAACTCATCTTTAACATTCTGTTTATTCTGTCTGAAAATATATGAAACATTCTAATGTAGGCAAATATTTGTTAAGACCAAATATATCATAATTTCACATTTATATTTCTTATTCAAATTCACAAATAAAGAATTTCTAATTAGGAGGTAAAGATAGAAGAAATTGAACCAGTTGTGATGGATCAGGCAGTAGGGTAGCTCTCTGCAATGCTGGAGCCACATGGAAGACTACAGTTTGGATCCTGGATCAACCTAAAACATGCCAGAAGCATGCACACACTCCCATGGTCCTGGCTGGCTGGAGGGTTGGAGGGAATAGCTTGCTTTCTCTCACTTTCTCTCTCTCTTTTCTCTCTCTCCTCTCTCTCTCTCTCTCTCTCTCTTTCTCAAATAAACTTTAAAAAGTCTTTTCTTCTACAAGAATCCTGGATCTGAAAGACCATATAACTTATGTGCTTTTACCCACCACATATAAAAAGTCTCGGAATAATCATACCATTTCCATCAATACTATTACTAGAAACAATTGAGATATGTGTATTTTGCAATTTTTTTGTCCTTAAGGTGTATCCCACCAAGGATTTGCAGTCAAGTTATTACAAAGTCATTTTTAAACAAAAATGAAAAAAATTTTTTTAAAATATCACAAGTAATTACAAAGATAAATGTCGCAATTATACAGACTGTTATATGTATATACATACATACACATGCTTTTTAAACTTGCTTCATCTTGAGACCAGCAGTTGGCATAATGGCTATGTCACTGGACTCCCATGTAGTCAACCACGGTTCGAGTCCTGGACCTGGTGGCTTAAACTGATGCCGGGTGCATATGCGTGCATGCCCAAGATCCCGAGAGGAGAATGGAGGAGAAGGTATTGCAACATGGCCATACCCCTGGGGGGTGATTTCTCACTTTCTGTCTCTCTGTCTCTCTGGCAAGCACATATGTCCTATAGCAAAAAACTCTCCAAAACAAAGATTGAATCCCTAAACTGAAAGATGACTTTAAGTATATCCTACATAGGGAGCAAATTTTCTCTGTAAAAGATCAAGTAGAAAATATTTGAAGCTTTGCAGGCTGTATAATTTCTTTTGGAACTACTCAGCTCTGCTATCGTAGTATGAAAACAGCCAACCTGAAAGGGACTGGAGAACTATAACTATTACTGTCATGGATGCTGGGCTCAGCACTGTTCAGGGGTATGGGCTAACCAAATCTGAAGGGCTCCCAAACTGGGTAAGAGCTGTGTGCTTTAACTGTTGTGCATACCAAAATGTAGCACTTGTCAGTAGTAGAGGACTAAAAATCCTGAAAGGCTCCCATAGAGGGCAGAGGCCCTTCTGTTAGAGCTTCTCTCTGAGCTAGGCTCCTGGCAGTGGCCAACAGCTCTTAGAGGGTTCCCACATTGGGGAGGGGCCTGTGCAGTTGAGCTGCAGTGTGTACTGCTCAGTTCATGTCAAAAGCAGAGATAAGTATAGCTGAAGGGCTCCAACATAAGACAGAGGCTTTTGCACTGGAGCTGCTGCATATGCTGGGCTCCTGGCATAGTCCAACTGTGCCTAGAAGATTTCTTCAATGGCTTTGCTCTCTTGCATTGGTGCTCCTGCATGAAGGATTTCTGGGAGCAGCTAACAGTACTCAGAAGGCTCCTGGAGTACGGAGGGGCTCTTTAGCTGAAACTTCCACTTGAACTGAGTTCCTGCAGGCAGCCAACAAAGTCTGGAAGGCTCCCATGGGGGATAGGACTTTTGCACTGGAGTTGTTGCCTGCCCTGGGATCCTGAGAGTACCTGGATGACTCCCACAGTGGGGAGGGAATGTGTGTTCCAGCCACAGAATGTACTGGACCCAGGGCTAATCAGGGGCTATGGAAACCAAGGCTGAAGGGTCTCCACAGGAGCAGAAACCATGTGCTTATACAAGCTGTGGCATGAGCCAGGCTCAGCTATGAGGCTCTTATGTTTATTTATGTTTCTTGGAGCAGTCCTCCTACTGTGTTGGTTTTCTTGTGTCCCAGATAGTACAATAATATGTGAGTTTGGATGCCAGGGTAATGGCGCTACTGCTCAGTCTAGCTGAAATGGCAGCTGTATGAACTTGCATGCCTAATAGGGTTTTGGTAGGTTCTCGGAGTTGTAAGACATGTGGAGCATCAGTCCTTGGTGCCAGTTCCACTCTAGCAGTTGTTTTGTTCCCAAAATGGTGCAGCCCTGCAGCAGTTTGGTTCCTGGGAAGCGGAGTTATCCTGGGCAAGAGCCTTCTCTGGAATTATGCAGTCCTGTGGATTTTAGGAACTTCCCTTCACTGGGCCTGGGATAAAGCAGAGTGCTAGATCCCCAGGTAGCTAGAAGTGCCTTCATACACAGTGGTATCAGAGGGTCTGAGGGCTCTCTTAATCACCCTTTCCCTTCTCTTCAAAGAGTTTGTGAAAAATGGAATTAAAGCATGAGTTTATTTCATACAAAAAATTTTGAAATTCACAGTTTTTGCATAATACAGTTTCCATGAATTTTTTGAAGACCTCTCCTCATGTATATACAAATATACATCTGTGCAATTAAAATATAAAAAGAAAATATATATTATTTTGCTTTATAACTTGTAGATTTTGAAAAAGAAAGATAATTAAATTCCAAAGTAGAAAAAAATTATCTTTCTACTCCTTTGAAGTATGAAATATAAGCTGTTTATCTAGAACCTTATAAATGACCTTGAAAACTATGCGGATTTATTTTGCTCCAATAAGAACAAGAAAAGCTTTAAGAACCAAAAAGTAAATATGGATTTGGAGTATCATTTCATGTCTTGACATTGGTATCATCTGTTTGATATGTCCACCTTTATCTGCAGCAGTTTACCATATCATAACTTTTGTAAAATATATGTGATATGTTGGAGGGAAGAAGGAGATGAGGGACAGTGTTAATATTGTAAAAAGAAATCAACTTATGCGATATTAAGTCTGAGTAAATATTTAACTAATTTACAATACTGACCATCCACTTTTAGGTGATATTATAAAAGCTATAACAAAACTAGATAAAGTGCATATCTTGGATATCTGTAATTTCGGTAACAATAAAGTAAAAGTCTACTTGCAGAAAATCTACAGTCCAGAAAACACTCCTTAAAAATTATCAAATGCGGCTGGCAGATGGTGTGGTGGTTGAGGGTGCTGGACTCCCACATGTCTGACTGCAGTTCATGTCCCAGACCTGGCAGCTTGCTTTCTCACTTTCCCTTTCTCTGCCTCTCTCTCTCCCTCTTTAGTGAAATTAAAAAATAAATAAATAAACTTAAATAAAATAACTCTTTTTTAAAAAAAAATTGGCAAATGGGACCAGTAGATGGCATAATGGTTATGTCGCTGGACTTCACGTAGTCGACCACGATTCTAGTCCTGGATCTGGTACATCACATCAGGTACATGTACATGTGTGCCCAAAGAGGAGAGGAGAATGGAGGAGAAGGGATTGCAGCATTGCCATCGCCCCTGGGGGGTGATTTCTTGCTTTCTGTCTCTCTATCTCTCTCTGTCTCTCCAGTGAATGCATGGTTCCTATAGCAAAAATCTCTCTCTAGAAAAAAAAAATTGGCAAATGAAATTATTACAGATCATAAAGTGGGTACAACTTGGGAACCAGCAGTTAGTGTCATGGCTATGTCGCTGGACTCCCATGTAGTCGACCGCGGTTCGTGTCCCGGACCCGGTGGCTTAAAACTCACACTGGGCGCGTGTGCGTGCGTGCCCAAGATCCCAAGAGGAGAATGGAGGAGAAGGGATTGCGGCGTG